CCGGTGGACGGTGATTGTTCTCCGGAGAAGGCGCCGCTCAGAGTTCCGGGAATACCAGGATCGTCGAGTAGCAGGTAGACGACGGGCGCAGGGTCGGCAATTACGGTTAACCGTCGATATCATGTGTTGGTGGCATGCGTGTACAAGCTGAACCACGCACCAAATCCACGGGTCGTTAAGTCTACTTGCTCAATGACATCGGTGACCGCAAATCAAAAAGCGTATAGCTTGATCAAGCAAAAGAGAAATTCCTATGCACGTTATCAAGAAGTTGGCCATTTATGGTTTTTTCATACTATTTTTATGGTTCCATGTATTTTTAATATTTTAAGGATTCTTTCTTTCGCTTCATATAATTAAATTACAATAAAAGTCTCACGTTATTATTGATTAATTAACAGGCGAATCACTTGATCGAGTCAAGATCAAAATGTGTAATATTAATTATAATATTATTTTTTAGTTACAGTCAATTGGATGAATAAGAGGAGAAAGATACCTTATTCCAAAATTTTATACGAGATCAATAAATAATAATATAATCAAGAATTGAAAATTTCTTGATACCTTTGATACCAAGCATAGAAGGGTAGCAGTAAGTACGATTTATACATCTCCATAAATAGAACGTGGAAAAAAAAAGACAAAGGGGACGAGATTGAGAAACCTGGGGAGGTTAGAAGTTAGGTGTGGGAGAAAAGGGAGGGAGGAAGAGGAGGGCGAAGAGGAGGAGGAAGAGCAAAGAGGGGCAGTCCATGGGGCCCCCTGAAAATTACAAGCTATACGTTGTTCCAAACCGACCATCTAAGATAATACCTGCCCAGCCTGCAGCCATAATGAATATGTAAGACAGATTGTAGGCTAAGAGGGAGCCTCCGTAGCTACCGCAGCGCGATACGGTTGTCCATGCGCAGATTATATTCCAGCCCGATTACGCACGGCCGGCCGATAATTTATTATTTGCCGCGAGTAAAAATCGCCGAGGAAACGACCCGCGGCGCTCATTCCAACAACGCTCCCTGCTATATACGTATATATATGTGGTGTACGCGTCGGAAGGCGATCGCAGGGCATCACCGGGGCCTTATGGCCTCTAGCTCTTGCACACCGGAACGGAGGACGTCCACCACGACGGGGCAGCAAATACTGTATCCGAATCTGAAAAAAACGCAAAAGCGAAACAGACTCTTCTTAACAATGTTAACAATTACACATCTTGATGTGTAAGTTCCATCAACGTCATTTCAAGGATAAAGTTATTAATAATGATTCTTTCAAGTCAATTTTGAGATATTCGTTTTCATTTCGTCGCGCAAACTTTCTGGATGGATACTAATATCACGATACAGTGTTTCTCTCGAGTAAACGACAATACGGAAATGAATGGAATAAATTCTGAACGAGCGAATGGTCGTTCTAGGTTAGGATCCTCGAGCGAGAGGATCGATGAATGAAGGGCCGCGCGCGGTCATGTGCCAACAGCCGCTTGGTTGCCTCCAGTAGCGCGGAATGCTGCGCGAGATCTCGAAATTATCGTTATTACTATCGTACGTTAATTATTGTACTGTAAGTCGGCTCGCGGAGAACCGGTATTTCATGATCATCAAGGATAAATAACGCAACGTATAATGACCCGGCCGTCGGAAATGTATTTGTTTTTCTGCGCTTCGTATAAATTATGCGTCGTTGATGTTATCTCGCGTTGAAATTCAGCCTGGACCGATACCCCGGCTGCTTAAGGAAATTACTTTTAATTACACCGACGAGATTCATTGGCCTGTCCGCTTATCTCTTTTTTCCTTTTTTTTTTTTTTTTCTTTTTTTTTTCCTCCCTCCATGAATCTATTACGCGATCGTCGGGAAATCATTCTTGTCACGAGCTATTACTCGGATGTTGATCGATTCTCGCGTTATCACGTTGGACCATCTTACCTCGACAAACTTTTATATATTTTATATATCTCGCGTTTTATCGAACATTCAGCTAATGAAATATAGTTGGTCGTTACTTTCCAATTTCCAATGCTACGATATTAATGTCATTTCGATATTTCCATAAAATAAATAGAAAATCATTTTTCTACTTTATCGATCTATCTAGATACGTTACAACCAGCCATTTTACTGCCACAACATCGCGTAGAAAATCTCGCCAGTCTCGGCTTTAATTTGTTTACTCCGTTCCAACCTATATCTCGTTAGTTTAGGATTACATATCTCCGTCTTTGTCTATCCAAACGTGTGCTCTTTCGAGCATTAAATTCCACTGTCCGATAGGTGAAACCAGTTGGACAATTGAACTTTTCTTTTTTCCCCCCAACTTTCTCCTTCAAAGGTGTGCGTTTTGGTCACTATGCTCGGAAGCACGATGCACGTATACCAACTCGGTATTTACATAGAACGCGTGCCACTACTCCTGACTCAAATTTCCGCCGCTAGAGGGATACCAGATGCAAAATGATCCAAACGATACTCTCCCCTCCTCCCCCTAAAAAATGGCGTCGTCCGAAACATCGTCCGGATATCGATAGATCATCGACCGACGAGGAACGACGAGCACGAAATCCAACGTGTGGTCGTGAAGCACGAACGATAAAAGAGAAAAAGGAACGCAGGAGGGTCAAGCAGGGGCGGCAGGTGACAAAGTCGGGTGTTTAGGCGTCTTTCGAGGTTAAAATTGGGACCCGAGCTATCGAACGCCGGGGTGGGAGCCGAGGAACGAGAGGCGGCCGAGAATACAAAGGGGAGGAAGAAAGAGGAGCCGATAAGAAGAATGAAGAGGCGACTCGGTCCGTGGAAGGAATGCCGTCGGACGAGCGCCGGAGGGCAGCCGCGCGCGATTCCTCTCTCTCTCTCTTTCTCTCTCTCGCTTCCAGAACGCTACTCCCTCCTCCACCACCCTTTGCCCCAGCAGAGGTAACAGAGAATACTCGATCACTCCATCTCCCTCCTCTATCCTCGATGGCCGCCTCTTTCTCTATCCTCCAACTGATTCCTCTGTCGGTCCACATCCCCCTCGGCCACGTACGCGTCCACGCGATTGTGGTGGTTACCGATACCTCCCGGGGCCTCNCCCCTGTCTTCCTGCACCCCTCGTCGCCCCCGTGCGAAGCAAGACGCGTCGTGTGTGCACGGTGCGCGTCGAACACACATCCTCGACCATGCACGCCGCGTTGCTACGACTGTTATTGTCTCCGTCTACCGTGTTACAGGTATGCAATAATGCATCGACACCAACACCGTGCACGTGTTTTCCACAGATCGTTCCGTGACCCCGTGTCGCGTCAACGATGAGACACACTCGCACCCGATTCGACCGACTTGTCTCTCGCTTTCATGTGCGCGCGCCGATGTCGGACGAGCTTGTGTCCTTTATGATGTACCGTACGTACGGTGGCGGTAGTAGAGCGGATGGATCGTAATAGGGGATCGTAATGAAATGTCGCGCGACGTTGGGTAATGGGAGGTGTGGCGCCGTGTAACACTACTGTATTGATTTTATATTATTGATTATAGATCGATTGGATGGAATGGAATTTAATACGACGATTTTTTAATTGTCATCGGTATCGATCGACATTTAATATTAATTTATTATTCGAAAATAAATCTGTCAAATTTTCGTTTTGCACAATAGAGATACTTTAGATTAAAAAAAAAAAA